TCTGCTGTGTCTAGTAAAGCTAACATATAACTTTCTCCCTATAAGCCACCTACTTTTCACCCCCTGACCTCAACTAACCCCTAACCCTAACCATCCTCCTCAGAGTTACTGCTGTAGCTTCCTGTTTCTTCATTTGCTTTTCACAATAAATGTGTCGGTTCATTTTCCACCAGAGTAAGGTTTGGTCCGTACTGTAATGCCATAGCTTGGTTAAAACCACCATCTGAATTTTGTCTCACAAATGTAACAAACTCTATGTTTGTCTCTCTGTGCATGTGCATCAGTGCCACCCACCGGAGCTGAGAGTAAAATCATAGTAATCATAGTAATGTGGAGCTGAAAGTGACTGACATGCATATCATATCATGATTATGATTATCTGACTTGTTTTGCATTTGACTCATGGACTGTCTATCCACTGTTTTGTTGTTAACTTCAAGTGCAAGCCTGTATTAACTCATGAAAAACTGATGGAGAGCTGGGTGAATTACTGTCTTTGTTTTACTGCATATATATATAAATGTTTGACTTTGTGATGTGTTTAAACAATCCATCTACATTTTACAAATTGTCAAAGAAAGCATTCACTACTCTCTACTGAATGCCAGCTTCTTTACGATGGAGAGTTTCGATTGAGACACTTCGTCAGACCCGGATACACACCTCATCACACTTCACTGTCACACCCTGAGTGAAGCCAACATCATTAACAGCAGGCTTGGCTTTTTACTATTCACACATTTTCATTTATTTATCCTTTATTTGGCCAGGAAGGTCCCACTGAGATACAAGAGTCCTGGCCAAGATGGCAGCACAGGCAGTGCTTACACAAGTCGTAATAATGCTCCTGCCACAATTGAAAAATTTCATCTGTGCCACTCACACCATCAGCGTTAGAGGTTAAAGGGGCTGTATTGGCTCTGACCTCATTTCAAAATTCATTATAACTTTTAATTTGCAGTTCCTGTGCAAGTAAAATCAACCCCCATAGTATTGTCATTTCTTAAAAGTTTAATTTCAGCACAAGCAGTACAATATTGTTTTTTTTTTAAAAAGGCGTGAGTCACCTGGAGGTTTTATTCCAGTGGTTCATTTTTACATTTATAAAAGAGCTCACTTACCAGCATGCTATTGAAGAGTAGCTCAGTTTGCCTGGCATACTTAACTAACATTATTTTTTACTAATGCCAGACCGGTCCAGGCTTCCACTGTTGCTGTTGTTCATTAAATAATGCAGGTAGGATCTCACCATTTACAGTGAAGTGGTCTACAGTAGCCAATCCAATGATATCCATGAAACAGCGTCGCTTCACTAGCATATGTAAAACTGTTTACAAGTGACAATACTTTACTGAATAGATGACAAATTGTCCCCCATGATACAAGTAAACACAGGTTGAGTCAAGCAAGCTTGAAATGCCATGTATATTAGAGTTCATCTCAACGCCAGTGCCCCACAACAATCAATGTTGATTATGATTACGTTGCTGAATATTGAACAGATGGATCGTACTTAAGATTCCAGTCTATTGCTACTCAATAGAGAGCTATGGTTCATGAGATCTTGCTTTCCTAACCATGTCTTTTGGATGCACAGGATGTTACTATCCCCAAAATGCTCTTCACCCACAAAGCTCCCCGGCCAGAAATGAAGTAGGGATGTTGCAGTTACATGTCATGAATAATAAGATGTTGGACCGCTCAGCACCAGAATGCCCATGAAATATATTTCATAATTAAAATGTTCTCAGCGTCAAACATTTCATAAAATGTGTTTTAGCACAGAAATACATTTTGGAAAAAGCTATATTAGTGCCATGATGATGCATTCCTTCCCAAGTGTTACAAATTAATGTCGGTAATAATATTCTAATGATACTCTAATCATATTTTAATTATTCTGTTCCATTTTGTTAGTTTCGTAGCATGAGATGCATTTTGTGGCATGAAAAGTGACATTCGCCCCAGTGTGCGTTTGAGCAAGCCTGCTTACAGACCTCTGAATGCCTGCTCACATCTTGGATTTTTCTTTTTTTTTCTGAGGATGAAATAACTGGCAAGTCTGATTATCAGGCTATGTTTGCATACAAAGTGCAGCATCTGACTCTGTATAATCCATGCTGGTTCTGCATCTTCCCCCTCCTGCTTTTTCCTCAGTAGAGTTCCAATGTTCTCCTTTAGAAACTCTACCTCAGTATCTCAATCTGAAAAGGTCAACAAAGACAAAAAGGTCAGGAGTGATCGAGCTGCCTCCGCCCCGCGGAGAACACCACAGATGATGATGTTATCACAGTGGACAGACAAAATTCTCCTGTGTCTGTGGTTGGGAAGGGGAGGGTGGGTGGTTTACCGGGTGTCCTGGTATGAGATTAGTCATCTTGATGAAACACAACTGAAATGTCTCCTGAGCCGCATTTCCTTTCTGAACCATCGTCTACCCTACCAAGAAAATGCCTCAGACTGACTCATCCCTCTCCCTCTTAGAGACAGTGTACTGCTAACTTTGCACCACATGATGTCGCTACTGCATCAGCTTTAGGGGTCAGACCCGCTAAGTAAGATGGAAAATATTTGTGTGCTTAAAAGCAGGTGGGGGTTGTTATTGTGATTCAGCTCCTCACCACAGGAGTGAGACTTCTCCGAGGCAAGCAGGATATTTTTCAAAGATGGATTTTCAAGCAGCAACAAATGAAAAGCCTTTGGGTATTATGAATTTGATTTAGTGGCTTAATTCTCAAGTGAGTCTAAAAAAAAAAAAAGGGAAGGGGGGGGGGGGGGGGGGGGGGGTGTAAAAACATCCATATACAGTAGTTCACAGAGAGTGGCACAGTAAATTACATGTTCAAGGGCAACAAATTGCTACCTGAAAGCCTGTTTGCTGTTACACAGCAACCATCCACACACACACTTACACACACACAGCCCTTGGGCTCTCTTTACTCTGAGGTATTCTTGACCGCAACTCAAGTCAACATTTTATATGAACATAATGGATGTTTATAAACACTAAATAGCAGCTGCTGTACTGATATGCCTCTAAAGGTATAGCAAAGGATTACTTAGAAGAAGAAGTGTACGAGATATGTGTCTTTGTTGAGTCAGTTTCAAGTTAATGAACTTCTGCTGCATACAGTTGACCAGCTCAAATTAAAATGAATGTCATGCAGTCTGAACCATGACAGTGAATTACTGAATAAGCAGGTCTTCACAGGAAGACTGCTGAGTACGATTATGTGCAGCCTGTACAGTGGTTTATAGCAGTGTGACTGATGAGCTGGTCTGAAGCCCTGGCCGCTCAGGTACGCTACTTACAAACAGGCTAAATAGATGAGTTTTGCACAGGAATTGTCTTTTTTTTTCTTAACAGCATATATATAATCAACCTCTCAATGAGCTGTAATGTAGAGCTGTAAAATGCTTCAAGGTATACTTAGGTATACTAAATTACTGTTCTTGGATCACTTTTGAATTTACTCTTGCAGACTGTCAGTGAAGGCATCGGTTCAACAACATCACAAAGACAATAAAACATTTTCTCACTGCTCTCTCTACAAGTGTCTAACATTGCAAAGACTTTTGGTTTTACTTGCCCAGGTGTTGAGAAATCCGGCTCTTGGCCCACCTCAACACATTGGAATTGATTTCATTTGAACTAATTATAGTCATTGTGAACCTTTCACTTTCGATTTCCTTGTTCCTATCTCACACGACCGGGTAAGTAATTTTCCATGTATCATGTAGATGATACATGGAAAATGTCTCTTTGTGTGATAGACAATTGATAGAAATGTTAAACATTAGAATATGGAAAAAATCGATCTCAAATCAGCGTCTGAGCGGTGACACTGCCTGTGAATCTCCAGTCTCCACCTGTGAAAACTAAATGCAGGATAGTTTGCTTCATCTGTCTAGACATATTCTCGCTGCACTGGGTTCATCTAGATAGATAAAAACATCGGATATCGATGCTATTTGGTTTTTCTTATCAGCCAAATGAGAAGTAGTTTAACTTTGCTGATTACGTTGAGGAAAGTGACCATGAAACCATTAATCTTGGAGGTGGATAGAGATGAGCTGCTCTTTGGGAGCGGTAGGTATCACAGTCAGTTTCGATAAGCTTTGAGTGAGGACCGATTGAACGACGCTTTATGGTATGTGGTCGAGGGGCTCTGCCCTGCACCGATGCCGTGCCAGTCTGAAGGTCGAACAGAGTGTCATCCTTCGTGGGGGGAGTTTTGCCCTCGCCTCGGTGGCACCGGTTCTGTCAGGACATGAGCCCGAGTGCAGTACAACAACCTGACACTGGTGCGCGCACTGCAGCTTCCACTCCATCCAACTCCCCAGCAGGGTCTGCATCAGCCAGAGTCAAGTCAGTCAGCAACAGCCGGATACAAGCAGGAAGTCACACCACTGCACCTCCAAAATAAATGACACCAAATAACAAGTTCGTAATTGTGTGGCGATAACAGCCACTGTATCTGAAAGTCGTCATCAAAATGTCTGGACACAGAAAAAGAAAGGCAAGTACATTTGAACTGAAAAACAGAGGCAATTCAAAATGTTGCACACAAAGAAGAAAATTATTTGAAATTAAGTTAGTTGAAAATAGACAAAATGATGAACAATAGATAAATAAATAGATAAATAAATAAATGATACAGTTTCAGTGCATTAAGCCCCAAATTTAACAAAAGACTTATTTGGGGTGATGTACAGGAGACTAATTTGGTAGTATGTTAAATGCATAACTTATACTAGATAACTTTGTCACAACAAAGAATGATAGCAAAATGCACAAAATGCATAGTGTTTATTTATTTATTTATTTATAACGAACTAACTAACTAAAACTAGAGTGATTACATTGTATAGCAAGTGACTGTACTTAGTGACCACGCATCCTATTATTTTGAAAAATCCTGACAGGATGTTAAGTTTCTCCCCTCTCTGGTCTGCGTTGACACCGGCCATCCAGCAGATCCCCACAGAGCAGCCTCGACTGCCGTATTCGGAGATCCCAGCTCCCCCAGTTCCTGTTTCCGCCGCAGCCTTTCTCCTCAGTTTTCTGGAGCAACAAATCTCGGCTACCCCTGCGTCAGACCCAGCCTCCGCAGCCCCGGTCGGATGCCGCTGGAAGCCGGTGTATCATGACAAGGTAGGTGATAATAATGCTCCTGCATGGCGGAAATGTAGTAGGAGCGACGGAGGCAGAGCTCAGCCCATAGATTCACCCGCTACATCCCGGCCTGTTGACTGCGTCGCTGCTGAGATCACGGTGACCAAATAGCGGTCACGGTAGGTAGGAATATCAGGTCCCGTTATATCAGCACCAGTTACTCGGATATTATAGCTCTGCTTCAGATTGACGTCGGGTTGATAGTTACATACGTTGCATCCACATTAACTAACCCGCGTCCTCCTTTGCTGCTCCATCGCGTTGAGAGAAGGCAAGTGGGCATGTTCAAAACAATTTGGTTCACAGTGTATCCGCTTAACGACTAGGATAGTTAGTCTGAAACCTCCTTTAAGACTGGGGCATTACCTCAACTGGGCAGTGTGAATGAACGGGATTTAAAGCGGGTTCAGTTGGCAGCCCTATTAAAGGCTAAAGGCATCAACAGTGCTAGGAGCGTGTAGCCTGTAAGCTAGCTGCGTTTGTTTTCCGTTTGTCGTCGGTAAATTTGAGTTGATACGTTTGAATGAGAGAGAGAAATGCGTTTGACCCCCACCTTTGCGCACACATACCGTCAAACTAAAGACACATGACACGGGAGTTGTATGACAAGTGTGTGTGTGTGTGTGTGTGTGTGTGTGTGTGTGTATCCTTCAGCGTCTTTCCTTCATTGTGTTTTATGTGTGGCGAATAGACAAAGCTGCTTGTGTTTCAGCTTCAGTGCACTGCTGCTGCTAGTATCAGGATTTGCTTTGTAACAATCACCACAGCCAGGTGTGCGTTTGTTTGCTGTATCTGGAGGTGTTGTTGATGTGTAATAAAGTCCCTCTGACGTGTGATTATGAAATGAAATGGCTCATAGAGTCGGAGGAGTCTGCCTCCCATCCCCTCCTCACATGCACACTATGGAGCCCCGATGATGATATGGATGGCAGCACCCACATGCACAGTTTGGTTCTGTGTTTCAGTGTAGCTCAGCTGACTGGCGTCAGAGCTGGTAAGGCTAGAGGTTCACTTCCCAGCAGGGGCACCTATTAGAAGATGTATGCCTTCAAAGTGCCACCAATTGGCATGTACTAAATGTGGGTGGGTATCATATTGTCAGGATTTCAGAACAAAGGCCAAAATCAAAGCATGTCAAGGAACAGTACAGTGCAAGTCTCTTTTTAGTTGTATTTGATATGTCAGATTCAATGGAAAAATAGTGCAATGTCTTGTTGCTTTCTCAAGAAATCTCTTTGTATTGATGAAGTATGGCTTTTTTTTTTCTTAACTGTAGTATTTCATATCAATGAATGTCTGCTACAACAACAACACATACTTCAACTGTGAAGCACAAGTGATTTTCCTTTCTTTGACAGCATATTGTCTGACAGTAAATTATTAACCCATAGTTTTGTGTAGTGTCACAATTATCCCCAAGTTTCGATCCCTTTGCAGCCAATGGTCCATTGTGTTCTCATTTGAATTGTAGTTGCTGACAAGGGAGAACTCAACACCTATGGACAACTAATGCATCATTAATGTTATCTAATAAAGTCAGCCATGGTAACTGGAACCAGATTGATTGAGTTAGTAGCCCTAATCCATTCATGAATAAGTAAACAGGCATATATATTGCGGCGACAGCAGTCTATGCCACGGCAGGGGAGCTCTGTCTTGGATTCCAGTGCCAGGGACTGTGCTGCTTCAGATAGACGCCTGTTTGAATTTGAACTGCTTTAAACTGTCAGGGGCCAATTATTTTACATAAAGAAAAGTGACTCATGCTTTGGCAACAATTTGCTTTGATCTGGGCTTTGCCATTTTTGGAATGAATAGGCATAGCCATGGGTGGACCCATTTATATCAGCCTAGTGCAAATAATAACATCAGAGCAGTTCATTTTAGGCTGCGTAATTTTTGATGAAGCACTTAAATCAAATGGTTGTGATAACACTCCAACTAACCCTGGAAATTTACTTGGCAGGTTTGAAGGTTTTTGCAGAGCGCCTCCCAGATTGTGTTGTTTCTGGCTGTTGAGTCGATTCCATTGGACAAATGTTGCATTTCCTACCATGTACCTACTGTAACACATGATAGCACATCTATAATACAGGAGGCTGTGCTTTCTAGAGAAGTAGCACCCCCTCACTTCAGCTGATCTATTTTCTCTCTTTCCCCTTCCTTCGCCCCCCCTCCCTCTCTCCCTCTCTCTCTCTCTCTCTCTCTCTCTCTCTCTCACCCTCTGTCCTTTGTGCTTCCACTTTCCATGCGTCATGCCACTGTCTGTCTTCATTCTTGACTAATGAGTTCATTAAACATATTAGTGTTGCTCTGGCGAAGAGGTTAGATGCAGTGCGGTGAGTGGAAATGGGCGGTGACTTATTTTATAGTTTTATCTGTATTTAACACTGTGCACATTTGTCACGTGGCGAGCACAGTTTCTCTGTTTGGTTTAGTGCAATCCACTGCCAAGTGGAGTTATATTTAAAATAGCACTTGGATTTGTTTTTCATTTCAGTTCTGTCTGCAATAACAGCCTGTCACCTGCACAGCAAGCGCCTCTGTTTGCATGAAAAGCCATTCTAATTTCAAGCATCACAGTGTTTTGGCTCAGTGTACAGTGTGTGTATAATGCTTGATATTGGCTTCAGTGTGCTGTGTATACATCCCCTTTTTGCACCCTGTTGTCCCAGATATATCCTTTTTTTTTTTCTTCTTTTTTTTTTCTTTTCCTGAGAACGTCAGACGGATGAGAAGAGAAAGCTGAATAGAGCTATGCAGGAAACAAGCAACACATTTTGAAGTGAAGAGGCTATGCAAGACACGGCAACACTTGTAGCAAGCTGCAAAAAACAATGCTACCAAAAGAGGAAGGCTCATCTGGTAGCATTGTTTTGTTGGTATTGTTAATCTCTGTGCAGTGTATTTCTGTTCCCCAATTCCAGATAATGTACTGTAAATGGAGCAGAAGTCATTGAAAGGAAGCCTTTCCCTCTGTTGTTCCTGCTTTGAGGAAATCTTGAAATTATTATGTACGGATACATGGACATCCAACCATTTCTGGGCCTTATTACGAAAGACTTGTTCTGTCAAGACAGGAGAGATAAAGAATAGCTGGTTCATGCACATGGTTCAGTGAACAATCACTGTATGTCCAGTGTTGGCATTTGGCTGGCATTTATCATGTGAGACTAGAATTTGGTGTCTGTTTTCTTTCTCCTCTGCCCTCTAGGCTTTTAAAGACACCAGCAAAAAGATATGAAAATATTCATTAACCTCTTAAGATGTTAATGACTTTGTGGAGAATGTTAATGATGTCTTGTGTATTAAGGTCTGTAGAGCTAACCGACTGGAGGCCATGTGCAGCAGCATACCTGTAGTTTCTTGTAAGCTTGCAGAATGCAGCCTTTCTAAAGGGCAAAATCTGTAGGAAAAAGGCCTTTGTGCCATCACTCTCATCCTGCTCTCATCCTGCCGGAGGGCCATTATTATCTGTATTGTAAGACAGAGTGTCTGTCTAGTGATCGTACGAGCCAATCACAGGGCGAGTGTGGGGCAGGTTTCCATGGAGAAAAGCAGGCCGGGCCGTTAGGCTGCTGGAGCTCAGCTTGAGCAGGCTAGCCTGATCCAGGCTGATAGCATTCTCCAGCAGCAGAAAAAGAAAAGGCCCCAGCAGGCCTGCCCTGCTCTCTGCCTGTCTAAATGCCTCGCTGCTTGTCTACCTGTCTTACTCAGCTAAATGTCTAAAGACAGGGTGGAAGAAGGGGAGATCTGAAAAGGAATTCAGTCAGACAGGCACAATAGGAGCTTGGCCCCATAGCCATGTGGCATCAGATTGGATTTGTGTAGGAACTGGATCTAGATCACATAATGCCTTAGCCACAGCTGTCTGGAGTGGGTTTGGAGGATTTTTGAATGTGTGCTGGGTTTGGGTTGAGGGGTAGCTCTGAGTGCGCCCCGTCCCTCTTACTGTTGTTGTGACCAGTCAGAGATCCTGACCTGGACTTCCCCTCAAAGAGTATGTTACCCCGGCTCTGTTTGGCCCTGCAGGGAGGCTGCCCAGCCTGCGGTGCACTCACATCAGAGAGGATGTGTGTTTGCGTGTGTGCGTGCACACATAGGCGTGTGTGTGTGCACACGCCTATGTGTGCTTGCTTTTGCTGTATCTTGGGGAGTTATTGCTGCTGCAGCCTGAGCTGGGAAGTGGGTCTTACGACATTTCTTCTCGGCTCATTGGAGCCATCCAGAAATAGGCATGTACCCATCCACATGCAGCACTTAAATTCTCGCCTTCCCTTTTTTTCCCTTTTCAGTAAGAGGCACTTAACTGCCCCTTGTTGCACAGCCTCCTGTGTACCTTTGCATTAATTTGTATCTATGTATTGCATTTATATACTGTATATACATACATACATATATATATATATATATATACCTGTCTGTGTATTTATTTTAGTTTATCACTTTGCTTGCCATGAAGACAAGAAGAACGCAGTGAAGTTTGAGGCGCCTCCTCTCCACAAGGAACTGAATTCACATGGGTATGACACACAGTGAGAATTTTTAGCTCATCTGAAGTTGCTGAGCGACTCACTGTAGGACACAATCAGCCACCCCCCACCCTCACCCCCACTCCCTGCCAACCAACCACCCACCTACCGACAAAATCCCCTGATGTTCAGTGCTCATGGCCCATCAAACAGCCATGTCAGCCCCTCAGAGTCCACAGCTCAGGCCAGTATCAGAGCAGGCATGGAGGGCTGGAGGGATTCGGGGATGTTGCTAAAAATTCTCAGCCGCCTGACAAGATGCACTGTCTGGGTCTTATGTATCCCACAGCGTCTAACTTAAAACAGGATCCAAACCTACTTCAATCTCTAAAGGGCTTTTTCTTGCACGGGAGCATCCTGAAAGTACAAACCCACACTAGTGGCATCCACGGATGGATGGGACAGAAATTTGGAGTGTAGGAGAGGCAGATGGGAATGGAGGGGAAA